GAAATGCTTTCAATTTTTCACCATTGAGGGTGATGCTTGCTGTGGGTTTGTCATATATAGCTTTTATTATGTTGAGGTATGTTCCTTCTATTCCTGCTTTCTGGAGAGTTTTAATCATAAATGGATGTTGAATTTTGTCAAAGGCTTTTGAAATTCTTATCAATGCTATGTGGCAACCTGGATGGGAGAGGAATTTGGGGAAGAATGGATACATGTATATGTATGGCTGAGTCGCTTTTTTGTTCACTTGAAATGATCATAACATTGCTAACCATCTATACCACAATTCAAAATAAAAGTTTAAAAAATAAATAAAAAATAATAAAATGATCATATTACTAAAAGCCATCTACAGGTTTAGTGCAATCCTTATCAAAATCCCAATGACAGCTTTAATAGAAATAGAACAAACAATTCTAAAATATATGTAACGATAAAAGAAGCCAAAAAGTCAAAGCAATTTTGAGGAAAAAAAAAGAACAAAGTTGTAGGTATTATAATCCCTGATTCTAATCTATATTATAAAATTCTTGTAATTAAACAGCATGGTGTTGATAGAAAAACAGACACATATATCAATAAAACACAATTGAGACCTCTGAAATAAACCCACAAATATATGGAAAATTAATTTATGACAAAGGATCAATCAAAGATCTTAGAATGGACAAAGATATTTTCTTCAATAAATGGTGCTAGGAAAACTGCACAGCCACAGAAAAAGAAACAAACTAGACTACTATCTCACAACATACAAAAAAATCATCTCAAAATAAAGACGAATGTAATGCCTGAAACCGTAACACTCCTAGAAGAAAACATATGCAGTACACTCTTTGACATTTATTTTAGCAATATTTTTTTGAATATTTTCCTCAGGCAAGGGAAACAAAAGCAAAAATAAGCTAATAAGATTATATCAAACTAAATAGGACTATATCAAACTTCTGCACAGCAAAGGAAACCTTCCACAAAATGAAAAGACAATCTACTGAATGAGAGAAAATATTTTCGAATCATATATCTTATAAGGGGTTAATGTCCAAACCATTTAAAGAACTCATGTAACTCAACAACAAAAAAACCCTAAACAACTTACTTTAAAAATGGAGAGAAGAACTATATGGATGTTTTTCCAAAAAAGACATAATGATGGCCAACGGGAATATTAAAATGTGTCCAAGATCATTAATTATTAGGGCAATCCAAATCAAAGCCCCAGTGAGATATCACATCATGCCCATCAGAATGGCTATTTCTTAAAAGACAGTAACAAATTTTGGAAAAGAGTGTGGAGAAAAGTGAACCCTCTTATACTGTTGGTAGGAATGTAACTTGGTATAGCCACTATAGAACACAATATGGAGATTCCTCAAAAATTAAGAATAGAACTACCATATGATACAGCTATCCCACTTCTGGATATTATACAAATAACATGAAAATACTAATTCAAAAAAATATGCAAAAAAATATATGCAACTCTATGTTCATCACACCATTATTTATAATAGCTAAGATATGGGGAAAAACCTAAGTGCCCAACAATGGATGAATAAGTAAAGATGTGATATATAGAAAGGAATAGTACTGTGCCACAAAAAGATGAAATACTGTCATTCACAACAACATGGGTGAACCTTAATCATATTATGCTAAGTGAAAGAAGAGAAAAACAAATACTGTATGATTTCATTTATGTGGAAAAAAGACAAAAAATAATCAATGAACAAAAAAACAAAATAAATGAACAAATGAAACTAAAACAAAACAAACATGCAAATACAAAGAACAGAGCAATGGTTACCAGAGGGGAGGGAGGGGGTGAAATGAGTAAAAGGAATAAACGGTATGGTGATGGATAGAAAGTAAATTCTTGGTGGTGAGCATGCCATAATGCATACAGAAGTAGAAATAAATAAATGGCAATAACAGCAAAAATTATATTAATAAATAATATCAATTCAAAAAGATACATGCATGCCACTGTTCACAGCAGCATTATTTATATTGCCAAGACATATGGAAGCAACCTAAATGTCCATCGAGAGATGAATGGATAAAGAAGATGCAATATGTGTGTGTGTGTGTGCGCATGCTCAGTTACTCAGTTGTGTCTGACTCTTTGAGACCCCATGGACTGTAGCTTGCCAGGCTCTTCTGTTCATGGAATTTTTCAGATAAGAATACTGGAATGGGTTGCTATTACCTATTCCCGGGGATCTTCCCAACCCAGTGATCAAACTTGAGTCTCTTGCATCTCCTGCATTGGCAAGCAGATTCTTTACCACTAGGGCCACCTGGGAATCCTCTCTCACTCTGTGTGTGTGTGTGTGTGTGTGTGTGTGTTGTGTGTGTGTGTGTATACGGATACATTGTATGGAATACTACTCAAACATAAAAATAGAATGAACTAATGTCATTTGAAGAAACATGGATAGATCTAGAGATTATCATACTAAGTAAAGTAAGTCAGAAAGAGAAAGACAAACATGGTATCACTAATATTCATGGAATCTAAAATATGACACAAATGAACTTATTTTATGAAACCTTAAAGAGTCATAGACATAGAGAACAGCCTTGTGGCTGCCAAGGGGGAGTCATGTGGAGGATGGATGGATTGGGAATATGGGATTAGCAGATACATACTATTATATATTGAATGGATGAACAAGGTCATACTATATAGCACAAGGAACTATATTCAATATCCTGTAATAACCTATAAAGGAAAAATAATATAATTATTATTAATTTATTCCACAAATAATGAGTACCTACTATGTGACAGTCAGGCATTGTTCTAAGTACTTGGGATATAGAAGTAAATAAAACAGCCAAAAATCCCTCCCTTATAAAGCATACATTCTAGTGATTATTGTGAATGGTTTTTATATTCTTGGGCTCCCCTGGTAGCTCAGCTAGTAAAGAATCCACCTGCAGTGCAGGAGACCCTGGTTTGATTCCTGGGTCAGGAAGATCCCCTAGAGAAGGGAATAGGTTACCTACTGTAGTATTCTTGGGCTTCCCGGATGGCTCAGCTGGTAAAGAATCTGCCCACAATGTGGGAGACCTGGGTTCAATCCCTGGGTTGGGAAGATCCCTTGGAGGAGGGCATGGCAACCCACTCCAGTATTCTTGCTTGGAGAATTCCCATGGATAGAGGAGCCTGGCAGGCTACAGTCCATAGGGTCGCAAAGAGGATTTCAACATTAGTAATAATAAACCAGGACAGATTTCTACTTAAATACCTACAACCTCATAAGTGTTTCAAGGTGCAAAGTAGTTGAGGTCATTTCTCTTCCTCATGGAATTCCCAAGCACTTACCCTCCTTGTGGTGAGCCAGGGGCCGAGGTGCTGATCTCTTTATGTGGAAAGAGGGGGCCTTAGTGGTCCCAGGGCCTGGCACAGGTCCATTGCTGGCCTTTGGTATGGCCTTGGTCCCTCCATCCTGCAGCCTAGACACCAACTTCCCCACATCCACCTCGAGGCAGGACTCCAACTTGACATCTGAAACAAGCCTGCTTGGGGACTTCCTCTCAGGATCTGCTTCCACACTTTTTTGCATAGGCATTTTGGGGTATTGTGGTGGCTTGGGGGATTCTATGCTGCTGATGATAGTACCATTGGGTGTTCTATGTTGAATTTCATCTAGGAAAAGTTGGTGTAGAGGAAAGATTAATGACAACATTTATCACCTTTTCATTTTAGACATGTAGACATAAGATTGTAAAATTATATACATATTCAAAGGAGCTATTGTTATGGAACAAACCAATGATATCCCACAAAAATCAATCTCTACTTACCCCACTTCATGTGGAGACACAGGTCTCATAACACAAGGAATTCAATTAAAGATCTGATTATTTTCACAAGCACAATTCAGCAAAACCACAATATGCCAAGATTATATTACTTTCAAATACAGACATCAGTTAATCCTTAACTATTTCTATTTATCTCAAAAGTTATTTATAAATATCTCCAATATTTCAGTGTAATGTGCTAAACAGAATTTAACTTCTTTTTCCATCCTCAACTAGCCACTTTATGGTCTTCCCCTAGCTATTGTTTACAATTTCCTGTGACAAAAGCATATTCTTTTCAGTTGTCTTATGTCTTAATTAAAGCTTTGAGACTCTAATGAGAGCCAAGGATATTCTCCCTAGAAAAATTAACCTACACAAATACATGTAAAATTTTGAAAACCAATTTTAAGAGATTCATAGATCCCCCTGAATCAGTTAATGAACCCCTAATTGAGAACTCCTGCTATATGGAAATTGTCACCTTCCTTGGTAATAGAAAACCTAGATCTGAGTGTAGTGGTTAAGAACAGAGGTTCTAGTCAGCTAAATGAGACCTGAGAGATATGTCAAGCAATTAAAACACAAGGGTCCTATTTGGTTCCTGATTAATTTTTTTTAATGTAAGAAGGAAAATTAGGACACTGACCAAATAGTTATTGCTTTTAAGGAATTACTATTTTGTTTAGTTTTTTTTTCTTTTATGTATGATAATGGTATTGAGATTTTGGTTAAAAAAAGAGTTTTCATCTTTTACAGGTACATACTGAATCATTTATGGACGAAATGACATGATGTCTGTTTTAGGGAAATGGGTAAGGGTATAAATGAAACAAGATTGGGCATGTAGTTGTAAATGTTGAAGCTGGGCAATATGGACATATGGAATATGTTATGCTGTATGTTATCCTGTATATTTTTTATCAAATATACAATTTCCTTTTACATTTGAAACTCTCCACAATAAAATTTTAAAAGGACTGCAGGTTCTGGAGCCAGTTGTCCTACTTACCAACTGTGAGATCTTGGGCAAGTTCATAATCTCTCTATATCTAAAATTTTCTCCTCAGTAAAGTAGAAATAATAATAGTACCTACCTCATGAGGTTGTGGTGATGATTACATGAGGTAGTATACTTATTTCAGTGCCTGGTACATAATAAACATTCAATAATTGTTAGTTATTATTTATACTATTATGTTCTCAGTAGGCAGTGGGTCAAGAGTTTCCATGGGGAAAGAAAGAGTAAGTCTTGTTTCAAAGAATTTTTCCCCAAGAGTTTTCTTTTTCTTGGGAGCTATTTATTGATCACTGCACTGCTGCTACCACCATAAGGGTTAGAGCCAAGGAGTTCCTCTATAGTTCCCCTACTTTGGTCGCAGGGTAGATATATAACCCTGCTTTTATTAATCCTAGTACAACTGCCATCAGACTAGTCAAACAAAAAATATCAAAGACTCATTAATAATAATACTATTGACATAGCTCAAAAGTGCCATGTAATTAGATCACATGCTTCCAGAAGATGCCTTGTGGCAGACGCCATCTAACCACCAGCACTTAGGATTAACTTCAAGCACATGTACCTTCTATAAAGTATGAAGCAAATTCTTATGTCACACATGAAGTGATATAAATTCATTCTCCCACATGCTTTGAGTCTAACGTCTCAGTTACATGTTTCTATCTGAATGCTTTCTTTTGGTGAAGAGACTCTAGGAAATTCCATCCCTGTTCTCATTTAGGGAAAACAACAGGGATTGGTCATGCTCTATGGTATCATCACCATCTCAATACAGTAAAAGAAGGTCCAATCTCTTAAAGATGATCCACAAACACAGTCTCAGGCCACTACCTTCCACATTGGAAAGGATCTTTTCCTGGCTTGGAAATAGGGCATATGATGATAGCAGCAATAGGGATTTGGAACTAGGCCATTCTGCCAGGAAAAACATTTCAAGGCTCTGGGATATGCTGAATAATAATGATAAATGGTAATAATTATAATAATGACAATGATAATAATAATGATAACAGATACCATTATGTAAACACTTTGTGTCAGGGCCTGTTCTAAGTGCTTTACAAGGATTATCTCTCATAATCTTCAAAACTACTCTGTAAACTGTTATTAGTCCCATTTTACAGATAAGAAATCAAAGGCCCTAAAAGTCTCAGTGTCACAAAACTAATATGGTAGAGCCAGTTTTCAGAGCTTGAAATCTGTTTTCAGAGTACATACTCTTTCTGAAGACAAGAGTTCATTGCTCCTGTTGGGTAATAAAGCTCAGCATCATCCCCTTTCTCTAACCAGCCATCTATTTCCAAGGGAAAAAGACAAAAGCCAGCTTCAGAAACTGCAGAGAACTAAGAGTGAATAAGTATTAGGAAAGGAGGCCTCATAAATAGGCAAGTGGCCAACTAGAGGCCTCTCTTCTAAGTGTAGGCAAGTGATGGGGAATAGCTTTAAGAGGTTGCACACTAGTCCAGCAGGAGAAATAGATCAATTATTATAAAGCAAGTAGAATCATGCAAATAAGCACTATGAGAATGACAGTTCTAGTTCTTTCTGGTGGTGTTGAAGAAAATTTTGTGAAAGAGGTAATTTTGAGCTAGGCCTTGAAGGATTGCAAAAGATGGAAAAAGAGGGAAAGGGAATTTCAAAGAGAGAGCAACTTGAAAGAATGAAAGTTCATGGTTTGTTTAAGAAAATGTAAAAGAAAATATTTAGCATGGTTTGAGCATAGGAACCAATTTTAGATAAAAAGTGTGAGTAGTTGGAGAAGAGTTATTAAGGTAGGGTGGGGCTATATCATGAATGCCATGTTCAGGAATATGAATTTTATCATTGGGCTGCAGAGGACCATGACTTTTTCTCACAGGAATGTGGCACTATCACATGTGTTTTTTGAATATGCCCTTAGCTTCATGACGAAGAGTAGACTGAACCAGAGAGACTGGAGGAGACTGGAGGTAGGGAGACCAAATGGGGGCTGCTGGATCTAAACTGGAGCAGCAGCAGCAGCAAAGACAGACAGATTCAAGGGATATTAACGGAGTGGAAGGCACAGGGCTTAGATATGGAGGTGTGAGGGAGTCCATGATGATAGTGAAAGGAGTCATTATAATACAATATATGAGGGGAATAACAAGTTTAGAGGTAAGATAATGAAATGCTACTGGCAAAGAACAGTGGTGAGTAGAGGGATTTGTTCTTTCTCAGAACAGCGTTCAAAGAAGTTATAGGAAGTACAATATTACAGTAGATAAATGAGCTCTGGAATAAGACGAATGCAAGTTGCTTTTCCGTCATTCATTAGCTGTGTGAATTAGGCAAACTACACACCCTCTTTAAGCCTCCAGTGCTTTCTCTATGAGAAGTGATGAGGATTAAATGAATATGAATTCACACCCATTTAGGATGGCTAGAATTAAAAGATAACAAGATATGGAAACAATCTAAGTATCCATCAGTAGATGAATAAAGACTTTGTTTGTTTCAGCCTTAAAAAAGAAAGATCTCTTGCCATTCATTTGCTGTAATATGAATGAAATTAGAAGATATTATGCTAAGTGAAATAAGTCAGGCAAATAAAGAAAAAAATTACATAATTTCATTTATATGTGGAATGCTTAAAAGTCAAATACTTAGAAGCAGAGAGCATAGTGGTTACCAGGAGCAAGAGGATAGAGAAAATGGGGAGATGTTGGCCAAAGGATACAGAGTTGCAGTTATATGGGATAAATAAGTCTAGAAATATAATGTTTACCATAACGAGTTTAGCTAACAATACTGCATTGAATAATGGAAACTTGCAAAGAAAGTGGATTTCAGGTACTGCCATCCAAAAAAAAAATACATGTCTATTAGTTTGACTGTAATAATCAATTCACTATGTATATATGTATTAAATCATCACTTTGTGTAACTTGAACATATACAATTTTACTAAATCAAGACACAAAAGACAATGCTGGCAAAAATGCAGAGAAATTGGAACTGTCATACCTTATTGGTGGGAAAGTAAAATGGTGCACCTGATTTTAAAAATAGCTTCAAAGTGATTCCTCGAAGATAAAATATACAGTGATTATATGACCCAGAAATTCCACTCCTATATATACACCAAGAATCACTGAAAACATACATCCACATAAAAATCTGTGCATAAATGTTCATAGCAGTATTATAGCAAAAAGTGGAAACAATCCAAGTATCCAGCAAATGATGAATGATAAACAAAATGTGTTATATCCATATAATATAATATTGCTCATTCATAAAAGGGAATGAAGTATTGATACATGCTTCATAATGGATGAACCTTGAAATCATTATCCTAAGAAGCCAGCCACAGAAAGACCACAGATTGTATGATTCCATTTATATGAAATTTTCTCAGAATAGGCAATCCATAGAGACAGAAATTGAATTAGTGATTATCAGGAATGAGGGAGGAGGGGAGTATTGGGAGGTACAAGGCTCTCTTTGGATGATGAAGATGTTCTGGAATTAGACTGTTGCACAAGCTTATGAATATTCTAAACGCACTGACCTACCCTTTAAAAGGGTGAATTTTTATGTCATATGAATTATATCTCAGTTAAAAAAAAAAGGTATGGCTAGGGTAGGTGATCCCATTGGTGAACTTATGGCACAAAGACCTCATCACACAGAGGGGCAAATTAAGACCCAGAATAAGGAAATGACTAGACCAAGTTATTCAGCAAGCTAGGAGCCAAGATGAAGTTTACCTCAGGTCTACCAACACCTAGTTCATTCATTAATTACACATATTTATTGAGGACATATGACATGCCATATATACTATGGGATACAGA